GGGGGGGGGGGGGGGGGGGGGGGGGGGGGGGGGGGGGGGGGGGGGAGAAGCAACAGTTAGCGGCACGTTCCTTTGTCCTGCAGGCATGTGCTGCTATTCGCTCGCCCCTCCAGCTGCGGGCCCAAACGGCGACCCGTGCCATCTGGGGCGGGGGGAGGGGAGGGGGCGGGGCCCCTTGACAGATGGCAGCCGTGAGGGGGGTCACACTGAAGACCCAGGGGTCAAAAGGCCCACATCCCGGGTGAAGAGCTGAGAGATTTTAAGAATTCCTCTGCAGCCCAACGAAGTAAATCACTTAAAAACAGTTTCCAGAAACAGCTCCCCCCCCCACCCCCATAATCTCATTCTTAAATTCTGCTCGGAAAAACAAAGGACACCAACCATCTCCAAGTCCAAAACTGTACTGCTACCAACTGTCGATGACTCACAGCAAGCGTTACCTTGTCCCCCCCCACCAGCGGCTGTAGTGTGTCATGTTGCGACTCTAACTCCATTTACACAGGCTGCTCATCTACCACTGTACTTATATCTCCATACATCCATCATCTGTCACTGCAGGTCAGGGTCAGGCAGGGCACGAGGCCGGCGGCCCCCTGCAGGGCAAGCTGGTGCATTGCAGGCCATATTGTTTTTATAGGTTTTAAAATATTTATTATAAACAGCAGGGTGGACGTGGCTCAGGGTGGACGTGTGTGTCTCAGGATACGGGCCATTTGTAGACTGAGCTCTTTCCCATGCGCTTGTACCATTTGACATTCACAAAAGGCACAAATATGCTGACTGTAAGCACCCAGCGCTATGGGGTGTCTGTGTAAGCAAGTCTTACATTCTGTACTTATTTAGCATTGCCCCGTTTTCTGTCTTGATGATTTTTCTGAGTGATGAATTATGGGAATAAGTGAATCTGTACAGAGAGCACAGGCATGAATGTGTCCTGCTGTATACTGTGCTGAATTCCGAGAAGAAACATGGAGAAATTGTGTAGGTAATCATGCAGTAATGAGACCAATTAAACCAATGTAAGCAATTAAACCAGGGCAATGGGTAGGAAAGCAGGATTATAGCAGGTGTACAGCACAGCTGAGGGGGTGTAATAGCAGTCTAGAGCCACTAGGTGGCAGTCCTTACTCCCAGTGGCTGTCGTAGTTTTCCTCCTGAGTGGCAGTGCCCGTCTTTAAGAGGAGGATCTCGTGCAGCTCCCTGCAGAAGGCATCCATGTCGGTGAGCGCGAGGAAAGCCTTCACCTCCTTCCTCTCTGCCTCAGACAGCTTCTCCCTGTACTCCGGGGGCAGCCTCTCAAAGGGGTCCTGTGGAACAGAGGCGGCCGTAGATCATGCCCGTTCGCGCACAGCTGAGACACAAACATGGCTGTGCGACACCCCCTGGATCACGCAGGAAGCGGGAAACGTGGCCAGTAAGGACCCCGCAGATAACAGGTGACCCCCCCCCCCCCCTTTAAGTACCGCTTTGCTCACATAGTTCAGACAGAATGAGCCCTCTGTGTTCACCATCACAGGTAATCAGTGCTGTCCCAACCTTTTCACCTTACAATTAGGGGGCCAGCCGAAATTATTCTAAGCAAACGCAGAGACTAATTTCTCTGCTCTAAACTAACAGCGTGCTGGTGGGGGCCTCCGCTCAACTGGGGGTTTGGTCTCAGTTCTCCAGAGGTCCTTAAATGTTCTCTAGTTTTATTATAACAGCAAATAACCGACTAGGCTGCTACGGAAAAACAGCCACTATCCTTGGTGAGGAGCCTGCGAGCTCCCCCGCTCCCCCCATGCTCACCTGCCCCCTCATGGCCATCAGCTCAGACTTCCAGCAGGTGAGAAGCTGCCAGGTAGAGACACAGTGCTCCAGTCGACTCTCTCCCAGGGCCTTGGGGGGGAAGGGGGGGGGGGCGACAGAGAGGGTCATTGCGGTCATACGAATAGCGGGACAATAAAATATTTCCTTGTGGATCTTTTACGGCTGTTGTTGAAAAAAACGTGTTTGATACATCGGTGTTCAGCGTACTTTGTGGTGCTGTGGCAAAGCAGAATAGCAGGCGTGCCTGTCTGCTCAGATCTGCTCTCTTGTGGTAGATGTGGCTAATGATATATTTTCATAATTATACAGTAAGACTTGATAAGTATCTTCATATTTAGACTACATCTTTATTATTACCGCATAAGTACCATGAGATTCGGTCATATTTTAGGTCCGTCTCTAACAAAGACGATTTCTCCTTAGATGATCCACTCACTGAACCTGTTGCTTTTTGTCTCCCTCAGTATCACACTTTTAAAAGTCTAGCAGCTCTGCTTTCTTTGGATTCTTCATGCTTTTCTTTATAACTGGCTTCTCCGCGGTCCCGGCCCGGTTGGTCCTGCTGGGTACCTTAGCCACAGCCCGGGGAATCTGCTGCTCCATCCTCAGCGTGTCCCGCATGTAGGCCAGCAGCCGGACACGGGGATCCCCGCCCATCTTGGCCAGGAAGCGCAGGGCCACCTCCGTCAACAGCACGGCGTCGCACGTGTCCGGGAAGGAGTGCAGCACATCGCGCACGGCGCCGCTCAGAGAGTTCCTCAGGGGCTTCTGGACACGCAGAGCCAGGGGAGGGGTCACGACACGCAAGCACCGACGGGGTGGGGGGGGCATGCACAGAACCCACCGCGGGCCCAGTGGCCGTTACCTGGGGGATCTTACTCCGGACCTCTGCCAGCAGCGCGGAGAAGTTCAGCTGGTGTCTTCTCACGTACTTCGAGGTCTCCTACACCAGAGGATAGAAACCGAGAGCCTCGCAAAACAGAAAACAGGAACTTAGCACAAAAAAAAAAATCAAATAAAATTAAATTCGTATTGGTCTGCCGGCACTGAAGAAGCAAGTGGGGATTTTTTTTGCTGAATAACCTTCTGACTTGCAAATCCCAGGCTCCCCCCCCCACCCACCACCATGCACAAATAACATAAGAGGGGGGCCCTGGGCTCCTACCGCCTGGATGAGAGGCTTTCCAGTGACAAAGCGCCGGGCGAGTTCACTCTCAATCGCCGGCAGATTGTAGCTGCTCACTGTCTCCTTGCCTTTCCTCAGGGTGTACTGACAGTGCGTCAGCAGCAGGGGGAGCAGCTCCTGCTCAGTGCGGCACAGGACCAGCTGAGCCTCTGACACTCCCTCTAGTGGAACACTGTAGTCACTGTGGGAGAAAGCACAGTCAGAACTGGTAGTCTCCCTAAACAACCCGTTTGTAAGGATTCTGTAGTCAGTCTCAACCAGCATGGCCTCATTTCAATGTACGGGGAGGAAAAAATAAAGGCTGAGGAGGTACGGGGGTAGAGACCTGTCCTGCTGCAGGTGCAGCGCCCTGGCCTGTCGCACCAGGCAGTTGTGAGTCTCAGACAGGAAGCTGAGCAGCAGGGTTAGGCAGGACCCCGGCCCGTTCTGGCTTAGAGACAGGAACTCCCCCGGGCTGTCCATGCTCAGCTCCGTGCCACAGAGGCGCTCCGCCACGCCCATCTCAGCTATCCATTTTTCGGATGGGGGATGGAAAAAAAAAACACAGAACCAAGAACATTATCCCCAAAGATATTCCAGCTAGGTGGGGAAACACTCAGGCACACACAGAGCTGACCAGGCGTCACTCACAGCTCCTGGACAGTTCCATCCTCAGCTGGTTCCACACGTCAATGAAGATCTTCACTCGTGTCAGCAGCACCTCCGACTGCTGACCTGCAGGGGGCGACAAAATGAATCACAAACGGAATAAATGATTTTTAACTCTGCAGAACCTACTGAATATGGCCTCAGGGATTCATACTACTCTTATGGCGGCGGCGGGGGGGTTACCTTTTGGGATCTGCTGCAGTACCTGTCCGATACTCTGAGATGACCCCGCCTCTGTCACCATGGTGACCAACCTCAGCAAATCTAATTGGAGGGCAGCCAGGGCAGGCAGGTGACATAGCTGCCTTAAGCACGGCACCTGCAATCACCCGAATGGCCCATTACTCTGCTGTCTCATGCTGTTCACGCTCGTCATTAGAAGGTGGTGCCGGCTCTCTTTTAATGTAACATGAGTAATGTTTATTTTAATGAGAAATACCACAGATGTAATCATGCATCTGTCAGTCACTCGCCTTTTTGATGAAGAGTGAGAGCAGGGGCACCGTGGCCTGCCCTTGGTTCTGATCCAGGATTTGGGAAAAACGCTCCACGGTTAGCATCTCAGGAACATTCCAGAAGGAGGAGTGGTCAGTGGGGCACTTGGAGGAGTGGTCAGTGGGGCACTTGGAGGGGAGGAAGCGGGCGGGGTCTCCATAGAGCAGCATGATCAGGGGACTTCTGCTCAGGCTGTCATCAGCACTGATCTGTGCCTGGGCCTGCTTCAGTTTCCCATCCAATCCCTGAAAAGAAGGGGGGGGGGAGACAGGGGAGTGGGCGGGGAATGAGTAATTACAGTAAATACAGTTCAACCTTTGTATGAGGAGAACAAGGTTCCCTAAGCCTTGAAGAAATATATTTTATGAGGGGCCTGTTTTTACTGTATCACTCCCTTTACTAGCAAAGCATGTAGTGATCATGTGACCCCCCCCCCCCCCGCCATAAACCCAACCTGCATTCAATTCCAACCATGCATTTTATTAGAACTTCAGCCCAACTGGAAGTTATACCAAGACACATGTGATATGCTGGATGGGATGCCAGTCCATTAAGAAAAAATATACTGGATATATTATATACTAGGTGACTTTAAAATGCACCGATTGACCCAAGGTGTCCCTAAATATGTGTACTTGACAGTACTTGTGTTTTTATGTACATGTTTTACATCATGTTCCAATGTCAAACACCAGTTCTAGTACTGAAGAACAGAAGTACATGAGGATGGTAAAAATCCCCGGATGTCGTTCTTATGTCACCCCAAATATCAAGGATACATTGGTTGCATCCTCACCAAAATGAGACCAATCCCATGATTCACTGCGGCCCAAGTTAATTCTTGGGAGGCAAGTTAGCAAGACCACTTCTGCCAAGATCACAAGTACGATCTTTGCATACTTGGTATTGAGAAACACCCCTAAACTCTTTTCATCCCTTGAGGATGAAACTGGCCTCCAGCTCACCTGTAATACAGGGCCGATGACGGAGTCACAAGCCAGCTTTTCCCACATCTCTCGCCTCTGTCGTGAGGACAGGTCCGCCCCCCGCTGCCTGGAGTCTGTAATGACAGAGGTGAGCCATAGCTTGAATGACTGATGTCCTGTTCCAGGAACTCTCTTCAAGCAACCTCCGGCAAATTATTATCTTGGGGACACTGAGGCGTCAGAGCAAGAGGGACAAGTAGCAGCAGATGTGTGTACAACAAACCAAACATAAAGACATATCTATCAAGAAACTTATCTATTCAATGAAAGTTACTTAATTCCATGCATCTGTTTCCCATAATGCATTGTAAGGTCATGGTGAGTCTGGAGACTATACCAGGGGACACAGGACACAAGACAGGGGACACCCTGGACAGGATGTCAGTCCATACTGAGACACATTTATCATGCTCAGGGGGTTTCATTTAAACTTAGTCTATGAGTTTAGTTAATTGAATCAACCTTAATTATACCAGATATTGAATTAATATTCATTATTCATTGATATGGGACAATCCATTGTTAAACAAAATGATGAGCCACTGTTTGACTGAGCAGCACAAACCTTCAGCAAACTCCAGGAAGGCATGGAGGACCAGGTGCATCACAACCATGGTCTTGTCCATGTTCTGATCCAGGGACTGGCCCAGTACCTTCATGTCCTCCTCCAGATGCCTCCATAGAAACTGCTGGACGTCTTTCACCGGGGGCTGGATCATCTGACTGATACCCTGTGCAAATTTAAGCAGTTTTAAGATATAAGTACAACAAATAGTGATCTTTGAAATAGCGCATTTTCATAGGTGTCAGATCTACAGCCATATCTAATGATGGGAGGTGCCCATCATCAGCTTATGTGGCAGT